TAATAATAATTTATAAATTATCAAGGGTTTAGGAGGGAGGGAGGGGGGAAAATGAGGAGCTGATATACCAAAAGCTCAAGTAGAAAGAAAATGTTTTGAGAATGATGAGGGCAACAAATGTACAAATGTACAAATTGTGCTTGACACGATGGATAGACGGATGGATTGTGATAAGAGTTGTACGAGCCCCCATTAAAATGATTTTTAAAAAAAGATGGACAGTCTCAAAAACGCACAGGGGCAGTCCTACTCTGTCCTGTAGTGTGACTATGAGTCGGAATTGACTGGACGGCCGTGTTGGAGTGTGTTGAGCATTGGGCTGCTAACAGCAAGGTCAGTGTTGAAAATTCAGCAGCCCCTGTGCTGGACGAAGACGAGGCTGTGTGCGCCTGGAATGATTTAGTCTTGGAGACCCTAAGGCGCAGTTTTGCTCTGTCCCCTCAGTTGGAGTCAAGCCTCATCTATGTGTTCAGCGGCAGTGGGGGCGGTGGGGGTGGTGACACTGTATCAATTACTTGTCTCTTCAGGGCCTTTGCTCCCCCTAGGATGTCAGCCCTGCGAGGGCTGGCTCACCTGCCTTGCCCGCCACCGGGTCCTCACTACATGTACGTCCTGGCCATGAATAAAGAGATGGAGGAAGGAAGGGAGGGAAGGAGGTCAGTCTGAGGAAGTCAAACAGTGGAAGAAGGGGTGACATTCTGGAGCTCCTGGCAATTGGCCAGTAGATGGGCCCCAGAGTCCTACCCCTGGGACCAGCCCAAGCTCAGGCCCCATGAAGCCAGCCAGCCACGAGGGCGCTTAGCTCTGGCCGCACTGGGAGGGAAGGGGGTCCCTCATTAGGAGACTGTGCCCCCTGGTGGCCAGGGCTGCTTCTGCTCCAGGATGAGGCTCAACTCCTAGGGCAGTGGTTCTCCACCTTCCTCATGCCTCTACCCTTTATACAGTTCCTCATGTTGTGGTGACCCCCCAACCATAAAATTATTGTTGTTGCTACTTCATAACTGTCATTTTGTTAGTTATGAATCGTCGTGTAAATATCTGATACACAGGCTGTATTTTCATTGTTACAAATTCAACATCATTAAAGCATAGTGATGGATCACAAAAACATTAT